CCGCCTCCACAGACCTTGGGAACGCATGGCTGGTGGCTTGTATTGGGATCTGAGCTGGCTTTGGACAGACCCCAGGACACCATCAAAAGCCAAGGGAGCAAAATGCCTCTTGGCCAAGCAAACGCAACAACCCCAGTGAGTGAATGGGGGGAGGCATCCTCAGGATACAGACAACCAATTGGCTAAACCAGACTTTCAGGCCCATCAGTGTCATATTCCTGACAAACCACATTATTCTCCTGATCCTTAAGCCCATTGACTTTTCTTCCCATATTTATATCGCCTTCAGCTTAGATTGTAGGCCTTCCTAGAGCAAGAAGCCAAACTAAACACAACAGTGTGCCTTTCTTGCCCATCTTTATCTCCTCATGTGCTTTTCCTTTCCTAAGATCTCCTCCAACTCTAGACATGCCACACGGAGGGTGTGCGGCAGAGCTGAGTGTGTGTGTGCCACTATTCCCAGGTCCCTGTCACACGGCAGTCCTACTGAAGGTGTTGGCATGGGTCCATTCAGTTGGTTGCTCCATCTTGAAGGACACTGGGTTGTCTCCAGTCCAAGTTCAGGCTGCTGGCAGCCTAGCCAGAAAAAGGTGATCTGCAGAAAAGAGGTTTATTTCGATGTAGTCTGTGAAGGATGGCAGCCCAACCAGTGGCGTTATGCATGGTTTTGTTGCTGAGGCTACAACTTACTTCTCCTAAGCCAGTGGGTAGGAGAGGAGGGGTTGGGCTACTTGTAGGAAAGCGAGACTGAGAGAGAAGACCACTTGCTGCCAGCTAGATGGACAGAAATAATCAAATATCCTTTTTTCCAGACTTTCGTTCAGCTTTGTGATGTCCTCCCCTGAAATTGCTTCCCTTTCTTGGGGTCAGATGAAGGTGAAAGGCTGCTCTACAACATACAAAGACTGCAAAGTGTGGCCGGGAGGAAGCCGAACCTGGGATTGGCGAGAAACCGGGACTAACGTAAGTTGGCTGTTTCCTACCCATCCTGCTTTTCCAACGGGACCCTGGGAATGGCCGAGAGAACAGTTAGTAAAGTTCCAGCCAGAAATTCAGTGAGTTGCCTTTTGCTTTCATCTAACCCAAAAGCTTTTTCTGGGAAGAAGTGAGTGTGTGTTTTGGAAGTGACTGGGTGGAGAGGTCAGAGACATTCAGCCTTCCAAGGGTGACAGGGTGTAGCAACTGCTGCCAACACTCCTCACAGCTACCTGAGCTGACCTGTCTCATACACCTCGAGCTCTCAACAGCATTCTGCGTTTGAGTGCGATTGTTGTAAGATCAGAGAATCACAGAACGGTTTTGGTTTAAAGCCCATCCAGTCCCAACCCCCTGCCATGGGCAGGGACACCTTCCACTAGACCAGGTTGCTCCAAGCCTCATCCAGCCTGGCCTTGGACACTTCCAGGGATGGGGCATCCACAGCTTCTCTGGGCAACCTGTCCCAGTTCCTCACCACCCTCTCTGGGAAGAATTTCTTCCTGGTGTCTGATCTAAATCTCCCCTCTTTCAGTTTAAACCTGTTACCCCTTGTCCTGTCACTCCCTGCCCCTGTAAAAAGTCCCCCTCCAGCATTGGCACTGGCATCCTCAGAGCTGTGGTTGGGCAGGTTTCTCCCAGACCTCTGCCTGGTTTGTAGAGATGCTACGGACAGACCTGGGTCTTCCAGCCCTTTGGTCTTTCCCCATGGCCACAGCAGGAGAAGCCTGAAGAGCAACAGTGGGAGGTACCAGGCTGGGTTATCTTCCCTGCTGAGATACTTTCGCAGTCCCATTGCTCTGCATGACAGTGTCTTACCTTTTCAGCCTTGGTGGGTCCCCAAAATTTCAGGGAAGGTAAGAATGAATGCAAAAACTAAGCAAAAAATAACATGCCTTTTCTTTTGCCCAGCATCATCTTCTCCTTCACAGAGGTGAAAACGTACAGAAGGAGTACTCTCCTCTGCTGTGACATTACATTTTGCTTTTTTCAGTCTGTCAGATTGTCTCTGCCAACCAACTGACAAAAAAGGATGCTAACCAGAGAACTTTTAGGGTTTGTTTTTTTTTTTTTTATTGCACAGGAGCCACAGCAGAGGACACACAACTCTTCATGCCCTTATGGCACGGGCCCAAGGGACGCGGACCTGGTTTGGCTGATGGACAAACTCACTGCTCAGCAGGCAGCCAGGCAGCTCATCTCTTCTGGTGGCCAGCACACTGCAGAGAAGGTCTCCATTAACGCAACCAGGTTCGTTATCAGTCTTCATCTATTAAATCAGCGGAAAAGAGGTCATATTTAGTTTTGATCTATAGAAAAATTCTGCCTAGGTATGGGGTGATCCTGCTTGTCAAAGAGGACGTGTTCCCCTGAGGAATTATGTGGGGCATCAGGTGTCCCCAGAACACTGCTGGGTTTCTTCTGTGCAAGGTCTCCAGGACAGTCGGTGCTTCTGGGGTGGTTTTGAGACTGTGCAGATTTAAGCGTGACCAATTTTGAGGCAGCATCTGCCATTGTTGAGGATATCAGGACAGGCGGTGCGGTGGGAGGATGCTTTGAAGCCACAGTGAATTTCATTGTGAAATAAGCTTTCTCTTTTATCTTCTGTTCTATCAGAGTTTCACTGAAATAAAAGCATGGGATGGAGTTCCTGCTTTTCTGCTTCTTTACAGTGCTGTGGAGCTTCAAAGCGCTGCTGAGTGACCAGACCCCCACTAAGAGCATTAACATGTGAACCGGAGTGTGGAGCTGCCTCCAGGTAACGGGGAGAAACAGGGAAAACATCTGCTCATTTTAAACTGAGAATTTTAGGGCTGATGAGTCTCTGATTTTAGTCTGAAGGACGTTATTTCACTGTCGTGATTCAGCAGATTCAGAGAATACGTGCAGCAACACATGCAACACAACTGGAGCCTGCAGCCCAGGGCATGGTCGCAATCCTTCTCTCATCACTCTCTCCAGTTTCTAACCAAAACTGCAGGGCTGTTGGAGGACCAGTGGTTGCTCAGCCAACAGTTTGTTCGCTGCTTCAACGGCTGAACTTGCTCTGAAAAGGGGACACCTCCCTCTAGTGCCCAGCTCAGTAGGACTTCCCCAGGGTGGTGTGTCTGGGGTGGAGGGAGGCACTTGGAGGTGGGACCCAGCCTGTGCTCAGGGCTCCAACCCACTGGTGAAGGGCTTTCAGTCCCTGCCCACCCGCCCAGAGAGGGCTTTGCCCCTGTCCCCTCTCCAGAGCTCAGAGGGATTGAAGGCAAGTGAAGCCCTGCCTTCCTGCTAACCCCAGCTGAACATCCCCACATCCTCCTCCACTCCCAGTTCCGGAGGGTGCTGTGGGCAAGTGGTGGGGAGGCAGAATTGCCCCCCTCGCATTGCTGGGGCTGGTGAGGGTTGCAGCAGGTTGTCCCCAGGGCTGCGTATGGAGCAGACTGCGCTGAGTCTGAAGGGCAGGGTGAGCGTGGGCCAAGGGAAGGGGTGGGCAGGTGCTGGAGGGGTAGGGGAGCTGAGAAGTTGGGAGTTCAGGAAAGGAGGTGATGTTGGGGAAGGGAAGGAAGGATTCTGGGGAGCAGGTTGGGATCCCAGAATAGGATGATGGCAGGATTACACCAAGTTTTGCAAGGCATGAGTGCCAGAGGGCTGGGGGAACATCCACCCCGACGCAAACCCAATTCCCACTCCCCACTGGAGAAGCCAAGTTCACCTCCTTGCACTGAAGCGTGGCCTCGGTGGCCAGCATCCCCCATCCTCATGGGCTGGGGGACAGCAGCTATGCAGAAGTGGCAGCTGCTAGGAAACACAGGACACATTTGCACAAGGCTTTACGTTTCATTGACAATATCAAAGAGACTGATTAGGGGGGTTTAGGCACACACAGAAAAAAAAGCATCACTTCAAAGGTACAGGTGTCTTCTGCAAAGCGATAACACAAAACACTCATCTCTGCCCCACAGAAATCCCCCTGGGACAGGGGTGAAACAAAGCAGCGGGATTGCTGGTAGGATTGGCCGCGGGACAGGTTGGATGGTACAGGCAGTGCCCGGCGGGCAGAGAACCAAGCTCCACGCTGCTCCTGAAGGACATTCCTTGATGGGACTTGGCGCAGGAGAAAAAAATGCCACTGGGCTGCGGACAACGGATCACCCTGCGGGGGTAAACAACACAGTTTGGATGGAGCATCTCACGGGCAGAGGGCCAAGCTCCACACCGCTCCTGAAGGACATTCCTCAATGAGACTTGGCGCGGGAGTAAAAATGCCACTGGGCTGCAGACGACGGATCACCCTGCGGGGGTAACCAACACAGTTTGGATGGAGCATCTCATTCCTGGACACATTTTCCCCAAAACAAGGGTTAACATTGCAAAGTCCCCATTAATGCTCCCTGTTGTCACGGCCAAGCTCCACACCGCTCCTGAAGGACATTCCTCAATGAGACTTGGCGCGGGAGTAAAAATGCCACTGGGCTGCAGACGACGGATCACCCTGCGGGGGTAACCAACACAGTTTGGATGGAGCATCTCATTCCTGGACACATTTTCCCCAAAACAAGGGTTAACATTGCAAAGTCCCCATTAATGCTCCCTGTTGTCACTGTCACCTTTCTGCATTTCACTACAAGGAGCTTTGCCATGAGCTCCATGTCTGGCATCTCCCCAAGGGATGAAAGTCCCACCAGCATGGAGAAAGGGTTTCCATCCCTCACGCTAGGGGAGAACGGAAGTATCTGAGATGTTTACAGGTGGTGTGTCAAATTTAGACATTTGGAGAACTGAAAATGACAAATTACTCCCTAAAAATGACCCTGTTGCAGCTTCCACCACAGGGATAAATGAAACGGCTGGAGCACCAGTGTCTGGCAGCTCCTGGAGTCCTGGGCTCAGGGCCCTCCAACCACACAGCCCTATTCTCCATGGGATCTTTTGTGTCTGCCGAGCAGCAGCCAGACATTGCCTATGCTGCAAGCTGGGGAGCCTTGGGGACAACGTGGAGGTCAAAATGACCTTTGTTCAGTGGCACAGCTTGCACCAGGGGGCAATTGAGAAAGACAAATCCAGGAGGAGGTATCAGTTGAGCAATGAAGAACAGACTCATAACTCCTGGGATTTGGGAATGTGATGCAAACATTGAAAAGCCACCAGCTGATGAGGCAAAAGGACAAATATGTCACTCCTCCTTGGCACTGCGTCTCCCCAAACTCTTACCTCAGAGGCTGGGGTGCAGGCTCAAGAGCTGGACGGATCCTCACCGAGGTTGATCTGCTCCAGGATCTGGCTATACCTCCGGGTGAGCGCTTTGGTGTTTTTGGTGAGATCTGTCAGAACTTGCTGCAAGCCGCTGACATGATGGGACAAGCGCTCTTCCAGATTGCCGTCTGCGCCCTCATCTAGGGCGGTACCGGTGTCGGATGGGCTCTGGTCGGTGACAGAGGCC